GGGCAGTCACCGTCGTCACCATCTTCACGATCTTGAATGGGCCACAGAAACGTGGTCGTAATTTTGTCGGTAGTGGCAGTCGTAAATTCTTGGTGTCCAAGAGGACTAGTTGCCCTGCTGTCATCGTAATATCCCGGCGATGTAAATCCGTATACCGTCGGGCAGTCGCGTTCGCCTTACGAATAAGTTCGACAGCTTTGTCTCGGGCAGTCTGTAGTTCTTCGACGAACTGCTGCGATCGCGGTACTTGACTCTCAACGTTGGTGGAGATCGGCACTGTAGGATCCATCCCGTAATTGAGATAAAACGGGGAGTGATTAGTCGTTGCCGAGGGTGCGTTGTTGTAGGAAAATTCCAACATGGGCAGCACGTCCTCCCATTTGTTTCGGTCGGGGCAGTTTGTCCGAATCAGCTGCTCCATCGTTTGATTTGTCCTTTCCGTTTGGCCGTCCGTTTGGGGATGATGCGCGGATGAGAACTGTAGACGCGTGCTGTACCGAGCCCACGTGTCCTGCCAGAATTTTGACGTGAACTTCGGATCTCGATCGCTAATGATTGCTGCTGGTATCCCGTGTAGACGAACAACGGTCGAGATGAACAGGCGCGCTGTTTCTTCGGCTGTGATGGTTGTACGACATGCTGCGAAATGCGCCATCTTCGTCAATCGGTCAACGACAACCAAAACCGCATCGTTTCCGCTGGATCCGGCCGGTAGTCCCGTAACGAAATCCATCGTTACGTGTTGCCATGGGCGCTGAGGTGGCTCGAGGGGCTGCAACAGTCCTGTAGGTCGCTGGTGTGACGACTTCATTCGCTGGCAGATCGGACACGCGGCCACGTAACGCTGCACGTCCGTCACCATATCTGGCCAGTAATAAAACCGCTGCAACGCCTTCAAAGTTTTATCAACCCCAAAATGTTTCGATAAATTCGAATCGTGGACTTCTTGAATTAGAAATTCGCGAAGTAGACGATAACTTGCAACCCAGATTCGATCAGTCCCGCTTCGTAAGTAATAGACGCCTTTCCGTGTAATGATTGGGAGATGGCCGTCATTTACGAAGAAGGGGTCAGTCGAATACCCGTGGGTAAATAGTCCACTCAGTAGCGGGTTGCTCTGGGCGACTAGTACTGCTGCGAGTTGGGCAGATGGTCTGGAAAGGGCGTCGGCAATATTGTTGGCGCCCTTTTTATACGTGATCTTGTACGTGAAGTTCGACTCCAGATAGTCCAGCCAGCGTATCTGCCACGGGTTGAGATTCGGCTGCGCCCTCAGGTACTGTAGAGATTTGTGATCAGTGCGCACCGTCACGTCTGCTCCAGTCAGGTAGCACCTCCAGATTTTGAACGCGTGGACGATCGCCAGCATCTCCTTGTCGTGTACCGGGTAGTTGCGCTCAGCAGATTGCATTTTCCGAGACTCGTACGCAATTGGTTGAAGCCCATTGCCGAAATCCTGCATGAGCACTGCTCCGATGGCGATGTCACTTGCGTCGGTGATGACTTCGAAGGGCCGTTCCGGGTCAGCGATGCGAAGTACCGGTGGCGACATTAACAGAGTTTTTAATGCCTCAAACGCAGCTTGCTGCTTCTCCCCCCACTCGTAAAAAGTTCCCTTCTGCAGTAGGTCGGTTAGAGGTCCAGTTAATCCCGCCATGTTGGGTATAAACCGTCGCACATAATTCACAAAACCCAAAAATGATTGCAGCTGCTGCAGATTTGTTGGCGGTTGCCACTCCTGAATAGCCCGGAGTTTTTTCGGGTCTATTCGAATCCCCTCCGTGGAGATCACGTGCCCTAGGAACTCCAGTTCTTGTTTTAAAAACTCGCACTTGGAGCCCTTGGTGATGAGACGATGCTGCTGCTGCCGCTGAAAAACCGCTTCCAAATCTTTTAAATGCTGCTCCCGGGTCTTGCTGTAGATCAGGATGTCGTCCAGGTAAATTATCACGCATTTGTCGAGTAGATCGCGGAACACCCCGTTCATGGTGAGTTGGAACGTCGAGGGGGCGTTCGTTAATCCAAACGGCATCACCGTATATTCGTAACTCCCGTAGCGAGGACGAAACGCGGTCTTGTGGCAGTCGTCAGCGAACACCCGAATTTGATGGTAACCGCCACGAAGGTCGATCTTTGAAAAGTAGCGAGCTCCGCGAAGGTTGTCGATCAGTTCGTCCGTTCGTGGGATTGGGTAGCGCGATTTTTTCGTTACCCGATTAACGGCGCGATAATCCGTACACATTCGAAGGCCGCCGTCCTTTTTTGGCGTGAACAGGATCGGTGCTGCGAACGGTGACGTGCTCGGCCGAATGAACCCTTTCGCCAGCAGATAGTCCAGCTGGTTTCGTAACTCCTGTAGCTCCGGCTGAGTCAGGCGCCATTGCGTGCGTACAGTAGGCTGCGCGCCGGGCTCCAGCTCGATCTTGTGGTCCTGGGGTCGTTCGGGTGGCAATCCACTTGGCAAGTCGTCCGGGAAAATCTCAGGATATTCCCGAATGATTTTCGCCAAGTCATCCGGGACCGAAGCGCAGAGTTTGTTGATGTCGGTCGCCTCATTCTGCTCCGTCGATTCGGTTAGATGGACGGCGTATAAATCCGCTCCATTCTTGACCGCTCGATTGAGGCACACCGCGTTGACTCGTGTCGATGTTGTCTCTGCTTCCGGCCACGTGGGTAATTTTCGCCAGCCTTTGTCGCACTTCACTGTGCACTCGCCTGTTGTCCAATCGATCTGCGGGTTGAATCTTCGCAGCCAGTTGCGTCCCAATAGCACGTCGTAGCCGTCGAGCGTTGTCGCCAGCATCGGCGCGCTGAAACCAAAATCGTCGCCACACTTCATTCGAACGACAGGTACTTTGTCGCGTATCGCCAGCGGGGCGCCGTCCACCAATCGCGCGTCGATTTCGGGTAGACACCGCTCCAGCGTCAGGTGTAGTCGTCGTGCTGTCTCTCGATTTATCAGGCTGTGACTCGCACCTCCGTCGATGAATATTTTTATTTTTCTTCCATGAAGTCGTCCTTCCGCCAGTACAGGGTGGTCCACTGGGTCATCCTCCTTTTTCAGCCGGGAGCGGTTGATAGCATGTATCGGAACCACTACTCGGTGGGGATGCTGTTTTTCGGGCGAGGAGACAGGGTCAGTAGGGGGCCCGACCGCTACTGACGCTTGGCGTTTCCCGACCTGTCTTCGTCGTTCTTCTTTATCTGCTTCTTTCGGGGGCAATCGTGAGATTGGTGACCCGGCTGGTGGCAGTTGAAACATTGTCCCTTGCGAAAATCGTCCATGTGCTCCTTCGCCACTACGCCGTGAATCGTGGGCCGTGGATTCTGGCCACGAAAACGATTTCCCTCCCGGGAACCCGCTCTCGCATACGTCCGATGTGCGTCGAAATTATCTGCGATCCGGACAGCTTCGTGAAACGTCGCCGGCAGTCGCAGTCGGACCTCGCATTTAATGTCCTGCTTCAAGCCCGAGATGAATCGAGCTTTCTTCTCGGAGTCATGCATGTCGGTGATTTGATCGCATAACGCCATGAAGACCGACGCGTAATCCTAGACAGAACTCCACTGGCGCCAGTTGTCCAGCTTCGTGCGTGCGTTGTCCGAGGCGGATATTGGCTCGAAACGTTCACGCAGAGCTCTACCCCACGCCTTCCACGTGCGAATCTTGGTCGATCCAAAAATCGCAGTTGACCCTTGGGCAGCAGACCCAAAGTTTCCGAAAAACCCCTGTGTGTCGCCTGCCGAAAACTCCCCCTCCTGTAGGGTATATCGCCACCAATCTAGCGCAAGTCCCCGCAGTAGTGATACAGCCAGTCGAATTTTTAACTCGTCAGCAGTGATCCCAGCAGCATTAAAATAAAGTTTCGCCGAGAATAACCAGCCCGTAACAGTAGTATTCTTATCTGTGGAGATGAACGGGGGCGGCATTGTCGGTTTGATCGTCGCTGTTGTCACGATCGGCATAAACGCCGGTGCGGCTACAGTAGCGGCTGCTTCTGACCGAGCGGCTGCTGCTGTCGCTGCTGTTGCTGCTGCTGCTGCTGCTTCGGCTGCTGCTCGTGCTGCCACGTCAGCTGCTGCGGCGGCTTCACTGTCCTTGCGCTCCTATGACACCTGACGTGCGATTTCGTCCAAGACGGTTTCGACACGTCCGGTGCTGGCGACCTCCTCTTGGGCGGTAATTTTCTGACGCGAATCCTCTCGCGCCTGGCGTAACTCAGCAACTTCTGCACGAAGTCGCTCGTTGTCCTCCAGCACTGTAGCCATGCGCGTGTTTATGTCGTTGAACTGCTCCCGAAGCTCGTTGAACTGAGCTTCGTCCATTTGGCGAATGCTCCGCCGGGGCAGGGGGAATTCCGTCGTGTGCCTGTACTCAGGTAAGCGCAAACGCTATCATAGTTGGGCGAATTAATCAATCTAATTCGCGAGCAACCGCTTTGCAGCTTACATGAGGGACCTACCCCCCCCCCCCCAAAAAAATCAACTCACGAAAATGGGTGAGCGAGGAAAGTGGCTTTGAATACCAGGTGTTATGAATGAACAAGCAGAGTAGCGCGGAAATGAACAACGAAGTGTTCACTCAATGAATGACGATACAAGGAATGGCAAGCCAAAATATAGGAACACCAGAGCTAGTCTAACCATGCGATGGGAAGGTTCGGGAAGGAGATCGAATGGTCTCGAAGTGACGAAGCGAGGCCCGGAGAACTCCCGAAGGTCGAACCGAAAGGTCTGGAGAAGCCGAGGCGGTTCTGTCAGAAGGTCTGGAACAGTCCCGAGGCTTCAGGTGTGTTCGAGCGTACGCGATAGCAGTACCGCTCGGTAAGGAGTGGAAATCCCTTACACAACGGGTACGCGAGTCAACGGAGGTTGCGACTGACCGTTACAACTGCAAGGATGGCAACAGAACCGTCAATCGAGTCGCTGTGCGACTCGATAAACCGTTCTCTTAACTGTATTCTACAACTGCTTTACTTTCCTACTTTCTATATATTGCTGTATGCTTGTTTCTTTTAATCAATCACTTGTTCTCACATACTAGTACAAGGGTTCAACTAAACTTCCGCTGCACTACTCAAGGTCTCCCTTTTACAACTTGGGACTTAGTCTCTGCAAAGATCCTAAGGGTATTTTCTCAGCCCAACACAAGTTACCAGTCTGTTCCAGGGCCTGACATGTCGGTTGGTCCTACTTAAGGCATACACGAAACACGTCGTGGAATATGTCAGTCTGTTTGTTGCTCCTCATCTCCTCAACCACCTCCCCCGGCTCGATCCACAGCCCTTTTGTGCCTGCCCTGAATTCCCTCCCCTCCTTTCCCTCCCCTCCTTTCCCCCCTCTCATTCTCTGTCGCCTCCTTGCTTTCCTTTTCTCCCCTCCATGCTCTTCCCATCACCGCCCCGCCTGCTCCCCACCTCTCATGCCACCTCTCGTTCCCCTCTCTTTCCCTTCTCCCCCCCTTCCACTCTTTCCCCTTGAAACCCTTCGCCTGCTCCCCTCTCCATCGTTCACCCCATCCATCTTTCACCCTCCTCCGTACCTTCTTCCTTTCTCCCTTCCCCTTTACCCCCATCACCACCCAGCAACCACTTGGCCTCAGCCCTAGTCACAAAACCCGGGTAGTTGCAGTCATTGAGGTTAGACAGCCACGTGGCAAATGCATGGCTCTTCCTCTCTGTGCTCACGAGGTGCGGATACACCACCTCCTCCTTAAACTTCTCTGCCTGCTCCCCCCTCCCTCGTTCCCTCCATAGCCTCCCATCTCCCCTTCCTTCTTCTCTCCCTCGAATCCCTCCTCCAGCGCCACCTCGCTCCCCTCTTCCTTCCCCTCTTTCCCTCCTCTTTACCAGCCCCATCACCACCCAGCAACCCCTTGGCCTCAGCCCTAGCAATCACGAAGTCCGGGTAGTTGCGGTCATTCCGATTAGACAGCCACGTGGCAAACACGTGGCTCTTCCTCTCTGTGCTTGCTCACGATGTGCGGATACACCACCTCCTCCTTAAACCGCTCCACCTGCTCCCCTCCCTCCCTCCTTGCTCTCCCGTTCCCTCGTACACTTATGCCTTCACCTCCCCTTTCCCCTCCTCCTTACGCTCTTCCTTCTGCCCCTCCCCTTCACCAGCGTTCTCACCACCACCCAACAGCCCTTTTGCCTCAGCCCTAGCAATCACAAAATCCGGGTAATTCCGGTCGTTAAGATTAGACAGCCACGTGGCAAACACGTGGCTCTTTCGCTCCGTGCTCACGATATGCGGATACACCACCTCCTCCTTGAACTTCTCCGCCTGCTCCCTGTACGGCTCCAGGGTCACGGGGTCGTGCGACCCGCTCCACTTGTTGTTGTACGCGGGGAACATGCACTCAACCAGGAACAGACCCAGCTCAGGCGCCAGAGGCACGTTGTAGCGCTTGTCCCTGAGAGAAAGGAGCACGGAGGGGGGGATAAAGGGGGGTGGAATGAGAGCGAGGGGTTCGTGAAACTCGCTCCACGTGTTGTTGTAGGTGGGGAGCATACACTCCACCAGGAGCAGACCCAGCTCAGGTGCCAGGGGCACGTTGTAGCGCTTGTTCCTGGTGGGGCAAGAGAACGATAAGAGGAAAAAGACGGGACCAGATGGGGGGGGGCGAGAGCAGGGCATGCCTTCACTACATGGTGTAAGGGGGGGGCACTCGACTAGGGAAAGACGTAGCTTTTATTCCTGGAAAAACTGGAACGATGGGGGACCGGGGATGGGATGATTGAGAGAGCGTTGTGGGACTTGTTGCACATGACATAAGCAGGGACCATGAGTAAGAGAGGGGGGCGGATACCACTAGCTAAAGACCTTGCTCAGGTGCCAGGCGTACATTGGAGTGCCCGTCCATGAGAGTGAGAGGCAAGGGAGGGGAACGGATGAGAGATGGCAGAGTGGCCCTCACCTTCTCAACGCCTCGGTCACCATTGCCTCTTGCGCGTGGCTCCTCTGCTCTTACCTTCTGAAAGCATCGGTGAGCATTTCCTCTGGCGCATGCCCGCGCATCACAGCCAACACCATGCCGATCATCTTGCGGATCTGGTGCAGCATAAAGCTCTGCCCCACCACCACGCACTTGACGCACTCCATCCCTTGCACCTGTGTGACCCCCTCCGCGCCAAACGACACGATGTAGCGCTTGGCCGCCGCGTCCTTGGCGCTCACTTTCACGGTGTAGTTGTGGAAGCAGTGCGTGCCCACGAAGAGGGAGAGCAGATGGTTCAGGCGGGCCAGGGCGGCTGAGTCGAAGGTGTAGGGCGGCGGGGTGAAGACAGAGGGAGGCGGGACAGGGAGCGTGGACGGCTTGGGCTGGTCCTGTGCGTCTGCCGGTTTATCCTCTGTTTTGTCGGTCTTTTTGCTCCCCTCCTCCGCTGTGCCGTTTGCAGGTTCTGATGTTTTGCCAGCCACTGCCATCCCGTCGACCTTCTCCTCCTTCTCCTTCTCCTTCTCCTCCGCCCCCTGCTTTCCCCCCTTCCGCTCCCCCTCGCCTTCTCCCTGGGCTCCCTCCACGCCCCCGTCGTCCGATATGAGTCCCATGCGCAGCAGATACTCTCGGTCCCGGTGGGCCAGGGGGTTGAAGCAGAAGGTGGGAATGACGTACTCGTACCTGAAAGGGAGAGGTGGGAGGCGCGAGGAAGGAAAGGGGGGTGAGAGAAAGGAGGGAGAGAAAGGAGGGAGAGAAAGGAGGGAGAGAAATGAGCACCAATTGCAGAGGGTGCGCCCTGTCGTTATGCGCCAGCGGATTGAAACAAAACGTGGGGATGACGTACTGGTATGTGGAGGGGCGGGGGTGGGGGGAGGGGGGGCGGGTGGGGGAGGAAGATGGGGAGAGGGGAGAGACGAAAGCCACGGGGACGGATGTCAGCCCAACTCGCAGCAGGTACTCTCTGTCTCTGCGCCGGAGGGCTGAAGAAAAGGCTGGGAATGACGCACTCGCAACTGCGGGGGAAGCATGCGTCTGCGGTGCGGGGCCGAGGGAAGGGGAATACAAATGAGCCCCCCATTCGCGTGTGCCCTCCGTCGCTGTGAGTTAGGGGTTGCAGCAGAACCGAGGATCCTGCAAGAGCCACAGACCCCTCAATTTAGTCACGTATCTGCTTCGGTCGCACCCATCCATGGTTTGGAATATTTCCTTCGTCTGCCGCAGCTGTCTTATTCGTTAGAAGCACGAAACACAGTCACAAACCCTTCGATACTGCCGTGCACATGCTTAAGCCACTCGCACTACAGTCATTCTAGACAGACAATCACCAGCGCCTGTCACCGATGTATGATTCGCTACCGGCACCTCGATATCGTCGCTCACCTGCGTCTGTCGCACTGGTCCTTGGCGTTAAACCCTGCCGTGACTCTAACGAAGCCCAGCAGCCGCACCTGGTGATGGTAGCGGGTAGATTCGGCGGGGTTGCGAAGAGAAAAGGGATTGAGGGGGAGGGGGGAGGAGAAGGGAGGGGGGGGGAGGTTAGGGAATGGAGGTTAGAAAAGGAACGGAATCACGGGCAGACGTAGGTGCCATACGAGACGGTGCAGCTCGGTTCTGGGAGATTTCGGAACAAGCAGCCCTACAGCAGTCAACGAAATTGCACGAGATGGAGCGGCCGGGGTCTAGGGTTTATGTCATCACGCCAGAATGGCCACGTGCAAGCGACTCGCCTGTTTTGGCAGATGCTTGTTCACCCGCTCCACGAACCCCGGCGGGTCCAGCACGAGCCGAACGGACACGACCTGTCCGAGCGCGCTGACGCCCTTGTCCGTGCGCGCCGATCGCATCCAGTCGATCTTCCAGAAGTCGCCCAGGTCGTTCTCCAGTATGGCCCCCGCCCGATACAGCGCCTTCTCGAGCTCGCCCTCGATAGTGCGCGCGCCGGGGTTGCGCTGCATGCCCTGGTAGCCCGCGCCGCAGTACGCGATAAAGAGCGCGACTTTCTTCTTCTTATAGTACTTCCGGTTGCGCTCTCTCTTCGCGTCGTCGTCCTCCCCCTCCTCGCCCTCCTCCTTCTCGCCATCTTCCTTTTCCGCTCCTGCTTTTTCCGCTGCTTCCGTCCCCGATTTTAACCGCTTCGATTCTCTCTCTGCGTCCTCCTTTCCCCCCTCTTCTTCAGTCTTATCCCCATCCAGACTATCTCCTTTTCTTTTACCATCCGTTCCTGTCTTGCTCTCGATCCCTGCCTCTCCTTCCCCCCCTTTTTCTGTCCCCTTCTCTTCATCTCCCGCCTCTACCTCCTCTTCGCTTCCGCCCTTCACCTCCCCATCGTTCTTATGCCCGGCATTACCCTCCGCCACTTCCCCCTCCGCCTCTCTCGGGCGCTTCTCCCCCGCCGCCGCTTCCCGCTCCGCCTGCGCGCTGTCGACGTCCATCGGCGGAGGACCGGGGGGCGAATGCGGGCTCAGGCGAGTTTTGAGGGACTCAAAAGTAAAGGGGGCGGCGAATGCGGACTCAGGCGAGAACGCCGAATGAGGCGCCTCGACAGCACAGCGGAGGCGGTCTAATGCGGACTGCAGCGAGAGCGATTGATGAAGCTACAAGAAGGTTCTTGCCTAAACCCTGACTTAAATCAAGTCGGGAATCACCTGATTGTATGAAGATTCGAATGCGCGGAGCAGATCGAGGGGCCAAGAGAACTCTTGAGTTGCGAGACTTCAACACTGCGAGTCTCGGGGGTTTCTGATTTCAAGGGCTTTGACACGGGGCTTTGGCGAGAAGTGAGGGGCGAATTCTCATCCGCGATGGAGTTATGCTAACTGTTTCAGCGTGATTCCGTCTTCTCTAGGATCTTCTTCACATACAAAGGAGACATTTTAGGATACCTAACCAACCAGCTCAAAAATTCCTTGTTTTACTGACACTATAGCGAATGCTTCCTTGGAAAAAAAAAAAAAAAAATCACAAGCGATCGAATTTGATATCCTCATAAGATATCCTTCAATTGCTCAATGACCACATCCATTGGCCCATCATCCAGCACCACAATATCAAACGCTTGCTTGTACAGCTCCAGTTGGCGCTCCACATCGTGCTTCAAAAACCCCACCGCGATCTGATTGCTGATGCTCACGCCCTCCGACATCCCCAGATCCCCCAGATGGTCCCCCAGTAGAATCACATTCGTCCTGCTCCGCACCTCCGCCACCTCCTATGCAGCTGTGATTGTACCATATGTGACTGTGCCAAGGGTCGTCACCACCGGCATCGCATTTCTTGGCCATCGTCAGGACCTGGGTGGCTGCCGCCTGGGAAGCATCCTCCATATTAGCTGCATCACTTGCCTCCTCCGCAACTGCCAGCTCCAAAGAATGCTCGTTCTTGTTGAGCACATGAATGATGCGTCCTGTACATAATTTTGGGGGGTGCTTGGCGTGTGACTCACAAGGCACAAATGCCACACATGCGCGGGTGGCCAGAGGAAATCGCATGGGCGAGAGACGGCGAGGGTTGGGAAGGTAAAAGAGGCGAAGGGTGGACGGGAGAAAGAACGACACCTGAACCCACCTAGGAAAGCAACGAGTCGTCCAGATTCACCGAACTGCATTCTGTTGGACACCACTCTCACGTTGGAGAAGGAGCGAGAAAGCTGCTGATGCAGGAGCTGGTTGGGGGGGAGGAAATATAAGAGTATGAGGGCGGGAGGGGAGCTTGGGCATACAGGAGGAGGGGAGGACGAGAATGCAAGTTGAGGTGCAATACTGTGTGCGAGCCGATGGACAGCTGCCTGCAAATACCAAAGGGAATGACACAGCCCATGTCCAAAAGAACATGCGTGACCTTTAACCTTAATAAAATCTCACCCTTACAATCACGCCTCACATGTTCAATCACATAAAATAAAACCATACCACACATGCCTACCACACATGGCAGCCATGCCACGCTTCTCACCTCCTCTATCACGTCTGCCAGGCCTGCGGACAATATGAGAAGCGGCACGCCGTGCGCCTGTCTAGGCATGCGGGGGGGAGAGATGGAGATGCAGGGTAAAACCATAGGTGCAGCGGAGATAGAGGGATTCTCCTCACTGAGGAAGTAAGACGCAAATGTTGAAGCAAGCAGGGAGAGCACGTCAGTCACTCTGGCTACACATGCCGAAGCCGTCTCTGAAGACAGTGTTGGCAGCAGTAGTGAGCACGTGCGCCAGCCAACCATGTGACCTCCAGCACCCCACCCACCTCTAGCAATGCAAGCATGTCGCTCAACCCGTTTCTGAAGACGATGTTGGCAGCAGCAACACTCGGAGTGACATCAGCACGGGTGATCCCACTCTCCAGCAGCAGCCCATGCACATTCCTTATTTTCCTACTCATCAACCTCCACATGCCCCTAATTTATTCCCTCCTTCCTTCCTATGCCAAGTCATCCAAGTTGCCACATCATCACACAAGAATCTCATGATTCCTTATATTCTTCACCTTCTCACTCAACAAAGCTTTCATTCCTCCTCATTTCCTTCCTTTCCAACTCATCCAAGTTTTCTCCAACAGTGCATGGTCTACAACTCCAAGTCACCAAAGGCTCAACAACCATCACATGCTCCGCCACTATTCATCTTCACCAAGAATCATCTCCAACTTCTCAAAAAGTTTCTCAAAGTCCAATAAGGCATCTCCAAGCTCCTCTCCTTCAAGCTCCCCTTCAAGTCTTCTTCAAGCTCCTCAAATTCACACCAATACAAAGGCTCCTTGTTTATGTTCTATGTCTCTAGAGATGGTATTATCATGCTACATTTCTTCCTAGACTACTATGAGTGGGGTCTCTATCATGCATGTTCTTGTATCCACCATGGATTATAAGGCTTGTACTATACCATCTGTCATATAAGTTTATGCTCTCATGGTTCTCTCACGAAGCTCCTAGTTTAGCAAATTAATCAAGCACTAGTCCATCTTATACCCAACTTGAGTATAAGGTGCATCACCAAGCCACAAGCTTGTAGGAAGACTCTCCTCTTCAACACTCAACCTTGTGGCATCTTCACTCTTCAAGTACAAGACACTTTCTTTCAACACCACATCCAAGATTGTGGTCCTCTCTCAAGCTTGTGTGCTTCTCCCAAGCTCAAGACCCTTTCCCAAGTGCAAGTCTTCCTCTATCAAGAATCACTCCCAAGTTTCTACGTCTCCTCTACTTTGTGAGACACACATAAGTAAGTCTCTCACTCTTCTTCACAAGCATCTCTCCCTCGACAAGTCCCCTTTTACTCACTTGAGTACCTTTTCTTTATTTTTTTTATATGTGCTACAGTTCTACTGTTGCACTCTTGTCCTATTCGACTGTACAATCATACTCTGTTGTCTTTATCTCAATTCTGATCACAAACCAGCAGCCTCCGATTCCGACCGGAAAAGCGTCGTGGTACAGTTTGAACCAGCCTTCGCCGAGGCAATAGCCGCAGTCAAACGTGCCAAACCTACCGAGTGTGCAGATCGTGCAGATCAATTTGGCCTATATCCGCTGAATTCTAGTGACGGGGTTAGCAGCCGCTGCACGACGAAACCCAGATAGATGTCTACAGAGATGGCGGTAACGATAAGCACATCAAGATGAGAACGAAAGAAACCCAGCAACAATCGGGCAGTAATCATACCGAGGTTAAATGGTTCTGACTGTTTTGCACAGCGAGGAGGGGATGGAGAGGGGGAGGGGGAAGGGGGGGGGGAGGGGGGGGGGGGACGGGGGACGGGGGGACGGGGGGGAGGAGGGAGGAGGGGGGTGGACAGGATGTGCTGGAGAATCGACCAACCGTGACGATTCCGTCAGACAGGATGTGCTGGAGTGTAGTAAATGACTTAAAGATTCTTTGGGCTCTACTCAGCCCAATAGGCCAGCGAGCCGCGGGCGGAAGCCACTAGAGAGAAGCATGCGACCCTCACATTCGTAGAGTGTGACAAGAGAATTCCTCGCGAAGAGCGAACAACTCACAGGGAGGCGAGACGACAACGACGAGTGGGGTACGGCAGACTTGGTAGTAGCTTCAGCTCGGATTCTGAGAAGGGGAGAGCAACGGCAGGGGGCCATGGTGGTTTGCGCTGGAATGGTGGTGGCATTGAGAATGTCACTATGGCAAGCACGCATTGAAGTAGGTCATTAGGCTTGGGCGTATCCCAAGCGTAGGTCTGAATGCGGTTGGGTGAGTTTGTTTTGTGGTAAGTGGGTTCAAAAACGACCTCAAACGGTTGGGGTATTGAGCAAAAGTGTACGTTTCGGACAAAGCGTGGCAGATGTGATGTTGGGATGGGCGTGTGTGAGTGCTTTCGGCGTGGTTGGTTTTGGCGAAGTTGCTTGTGTGGCTCGGGCTGGTAACCAAAGTCGTCGAAAAAGACTTCGCCGTAGCGATAGTAAAAAAGAATAAATACACATGTTTCTCTCAATTGTCTCACCCGAAACAATCCAAATTCCAATCCCACCTACCAGGTTCTCAGCATGACTCGCGTTGACAATGAACCTCATTGGCTGCAGTCTTTACGATAGCGAACAGTCAAGTCGTATTTCGACAATTGCGAGAATCCAAAATGGGACGTCGCGCGGGCATATGATACAGTGCGTGAGCGAGAATCTATAACCAAGTGTCAGTGCTTACTGTTGGATTTCCCCTTCAATGTTCCGTTAGCCCAGGTTTGACCGTTTCCTGCTTACAGGCTCAAGCCGCCTTTAAAAACCGTAGAACTCAATAGGAAATAAGGTGTAGTCACGCGATTCACGCAAATGTTCCACACTGCTATGAAATATAAGTCAGAGTATAGCGCAGAATACTGTAGGGGAGAGTGACTACCGAATATTTTCTAACAATGAAAGACCTAGGGCTTATATAGTGCAAGTTGACCAGGTTGAACCTCAAGTGTTGGACCATTCAAAGGCTTGGTAGTCCCGAGGGTGACGGGGTCAAATTGGGTTCGGGGCACGAGGAATAGTTCGGGGCCGAATAGTTCGGCGGGGGTGGTTTGACGCGAGGTTTGAGGGCCGAGGCTGCAAACGCGCACTGTTCGCGGTACTCGCTGTGGCTAAACTCAGTAAGGATTCGTGAAATCCTTACACACGCCTAGATGTTCCTCGCGCTGATGACCCTCGCGCTGCCTCTTGGTTTCTACATGGCTGAAAGCAACAGAAAGTTCATGCGGTTGAGTGCAATGAAGAGGCCAAAATGTAGCCCTGCAAAAGCATGAACCTGTATAAAATTTGTCAATGCAAGCTTCACTTTACCACCATACTTATCTATAATACTCCTCTAGCAAAGAGACAGAATAATACAAATGACACTACCTCACATCTTTGCTTGTATTTCCATGAATTTTTGGATTCTACGAATCGGTAGAACAATACATGAAGGTCCCATACCGTATTCCTCCGTATATAAGGTCCTAGGGGCATATAGAATATAGGGAAAAATTTGGATAGGGGCACTTAATCGAATTAAATCTATATGACACAGTGCGTATCAAATGGTTATTACAAAAAAAAAAAAAAACACAAAAAAACTGTAGCCCAGACAAAGCTCCGTCTAGTGGATGTATTTGTAGGCAGGTCCATCAGAATATCCGCATGTAAATCGGCCCAGAAGCATCAAATTTGTAAGCACGGCAACAATCTTAGAGTAACGGATTGTTTAGAATGAGATATACAAGGTGGTTTTGTGCTGAGGGGTTGTACCCTCTAAGATTACGCCCCTATCTTGCCTATAATAACATATACATATATGTTTGACACACCCCCTAGGCTAGATGAGGGGCATTGGCTGGCAAGAGACACGCAGCTCAGGATGGCACTTCTAGTCCAACCTCTGAGGTAAGGGTCCGAAGACTACTCAGCAGGAGTACAAACTAAACAAGTGTAACCCAGGGCAGCACTACTAGTCCAGCAAATGGAACAACAGCCACAAGGACAGTCAAGATAATATAAGAAGAAGTAAGTATACAATCAGGGTCCAAGCAAGTGAGAAGCTACAGGGACTAGACCAAGCTGTACACAGTGCCGCTAATGATTTTTAGGCGCAAGCGCCTTAGTACAGATATCAGTTGTGTTGGCACCGGAGTCCAAGTGTACTACGCGGGCTTGGCGGCGCTGCTGTAGCTCGAGCAGGAGGAAGTACCGCAGTTGGATGTGCTTCGCTCTGCCCTCTAGTCTAGGCTCCTGACA